TCCCCTCCTGTCACTCCTTTTTTTTAAAGTCAGCTTCAGCAGCAACCCCTGCCCCCCTGATTCCACCTCCCAGTTATGCTCCATTATGTCACCCCCTCTGGCTGCTACTGAAAAAAAAAATTCCCCCTCTTGTCCTCCACTTATCTCACCCTCCGTGCATTCCTTTTTCCTTGCCACATCCCTCCATTCATCCTCCTCTCTCCCTGCTGCCCCGTCTGTTAGCCCCCCACCCCATTCTCCTCCCCTCTTCCCTCATTCCTATGAGACAATGTCTTGTAACAATACAGAGTTTAATCTCCGTGTCAAAGCAGTTTTTCCTCTCGAGTGAACACACACACACATGCAAACACACACACACACACACTTTCACTGGACTGTCAGCATGTTTTTCGCCCGTCTGAGAGGGAGCGGAAAAACAAACAAAAAAAACTGTAGATATACGTGTACTTATTTGTACTTCTATGCCAGATGTTAGAAATATAAATATAATATAAATATGATAAAAATCATTCTAACTCTTAAATATCAAGTCTGCAGATCCTCTCTGAACTTTTTATTTTGTTTGGTATTATTCTCTTGAAACACTGAGTTACTTCTGTAACTGTTGGTTCACTGGTAATTACTAGCATTCCTTGAAGGAATGTCGCTTGCCATCTTGCATGCTAATGGTTTAAGCTAAGATCTTGGGCGATCTGTTAGCACAGGGACATCAAACTCATTTCCACAAAGGGCCAAATGAGCCTTATGTTTGCCCTCAAATGGCCAATGGTAATTAACTTTGAATGAATGAATGAAACATAATGTTCCTCGTCTCATTGCTACGGCTAAGCATTACTAACAAACAATAACTGAGCTCTTTCAGTATTTCATGCATAGAAACAATGTTTTACCATGTCCTTTTAGAAACACTGAAAAGTAATATGTGTGCAACTGACTAAATGTGAAATAAATAATACAGAAATACTATTGAATGTATGTCAAAGAGTTTTCTTGTGGTGAGTAGCTGCCATCTTGAAATCAGAACCATTTTCCAACAGGAAATACTCACTGGAGTTCACAGTACCACTGGGCCACAACAAAAGCAGCCAGAAAAATGCAGCAAAATAAAGATTTTACAAGGCAAATCTCAAAGGCTGCCAGCTACTTTTGAACTCTGTGCACCTGCACCAAGTAGTGAGATGATATGGTAAATGGTAAATGGTACTGAACTTATAGAGCGCTTTTTCAAGTCCCTCCGGACCCCAAAGCGCTTTACACTAACAGACATTCACCCATTCACACTCACATTCACACACTGATGATGGCAAACTACACTGTAGCCACAGCTGCCCTGGGGCGCACTGACAGAGGTGGGGCTGCCATGCACCAGCGCCACCGGACCCTCTGACCGCCATCAGTAGGCAAGGTGGGTGAAGTGTCTTGCCCAAGGACACAACGACTGAGACGGCTGGACGGGGGATCGAACCAGTGACCTTCTGGTTCCAGGACGACTCCCCTAAACACTCTGCCACAGCCGCCCCAGATGATGTCATTGCAGGGGTAAAATAATCAACATGCATTATGGGAGATGTAGTCATTGTGTAATGCTGGCTTTAAAGCAGCATATGTAAGACTTTGATACATCTTTGAATCTTTTACGGGCTTTGAGTTTGACACGTGTTAAGCTGGAAACATAATCCCTCCTAACTGCTGACGTCGGCATGGGTTGTCGCATTATGATGACGAAAATTACGTCACCGGTGTTCACAGCATCGTCTCGGCCGCCCCTTTTGGCACAACACGCCGGCAGAAACTTTTACCCCCCTCCCGCGACGATGGCAATATGTGATTGGTCTAAAGTTCATGGGCGTGTTTGTGCTGAAAGCGCTCGGACTGTTCCGCTCGGTAAAATAAAAAAAAGAAAACAACTCGCTCCCAGAGCCGACTGTTACCAGGAACCCGAGTTTTATAAAGATAGTCAAACAGTGAAAAACTCATGAATGGAGATTAAACAGTTGTGCACGGAGGAATCTGACTGATAAAAACTGTGGAGCTTTAACCAGGACAGATGTGGATAAATATGTCGGTTGAGTGACGAGTCTGACTTTTTTTTCTGCATTGCCGTCTGTAGCGGGAAGGAACTCCATGCAGTATTTTTAAATCTTGTTTTTATAGTTGAAGTAAATTATCAAATAATGTCTGTTTCAACCAGTTAGAGTTCTCTAAGAATTTTGTACACAATTACAGACGCAAGTTTTGGTTGTACAAAATTTTGAAAACCCACTTGTCTGAAAGAGAGGCTTATGTCTGGGACGTGTTGCTCTGAAAGCTGTACAAACTCTCAAAGTATGGGCAGTGTTTTAGAAGCTAATGAGAGTTTTAGCTGTGTTTTGCTTAAGTTCATTGATTCATTATATTATTTTATCCATAATACATTTACTCATATCATCTATTTAGAAAACTATCTTGTCAGAAGTTAACTAACACACTTAATTTGACTACAGATGGTAATTTATAACATGAGTTTTTACATTTAAATAATTCAGAAAATTTCATCAGATCTCTCATTTGTTTTATCCCCTACAAGGAAGCAAGAATATCATTTGCATGCAAAATTCACTCAGCAAAACAAAAAGCAAATTCCTGCTTAGATGCAGCCCCATAATCAATGTAAGCCATCATTCAGTGGCCCAGTTCAAGGCAAATCTGATGATATGCCATCATGCAAATCAGCAGCAAAGCAAACATCAGGTTGTGACATGATACGTGATACTGAGCAGTTTTACTCGAATATTAAAATTTGTTCCAAAGCGATGTTCTCTGATGACCCCGAATCATCCGTCACAGCCTATAAAGTCCAGTCATGTTTTCATCAATATAATTAAAGGTGCCATTTCAGGAGCCTTGAAGCCTAGTTATTATTGTTCCACAGTTATATTTCCATTTTCTTCACGATTTTCAATTTGCAACTTCTCTGAGATTTAAAAAAAAAGCAAATGGAAAAAAATGCAGCAAAATGTGTGGCTCAATTGAAAATAAATCACTATGATGTGGTAGTATCACCTTTCAACCAGGATTTTTTCTAAATGCTAAAGAATGATCTAAATAAAAACATATATAAATAAACAAAAATCCCATAAAACTTGGGATTCTGGCAAAATGAGTAAGAAAACCCTGGAGGTCTATAGCTCAGCCTTACTTCACAGAAAAAACATTATTCAAGAGGGTAACAGAAAATTTGTTTTTATAGGACTGACTTGTTTATGTTTATATATATAGAGAGAGCAGTCTATTAATATTAACATTCTAAACCCTTTTTTTTTGCAAGCATGCTATTCTTAGTACCACAAATTGTACATATTTTCTATAGTTTATGCCTTATGAGTATTTTTGTCTTTCACCCAATATGCCTCTTATTGGTGTGGGACATGTGGTTTTCTCTCACATTTTCTCAGATTGCAGAGGGCACACATGCAAACATCTCCTTTAAAATGTCCTGATGCATCTCAGTAATCCAGGTAAAAAATCAAAAGGAAAAAAATTGTATAGGTCCTCTGGACGGGTTCTTCTTTAATGAAACGTTTCGTCTCTCTTCCAAGAGACTTCTTCAGTCTGAGAGTTTCAGGCAAAATTCAGGCTTTTGAGTCCTGCCTCCAGTGGTCCAGACCCAAACCAGTGGTTA